GTGGATGTTATGTGCTTGGGTTTAACTTCATTTTGTACATTTAAAAAATATATATATATTTTCCTAAAAAAAATTTCCCATCATATAGGGGACAAAAGCTCCCTATGTGATACTTTTTGGTGATAGCCTCTCTTTATTGAGACATCCAAGGTCTAAAAGACCCTGCATGTCTCCCCTTTGCTCCCCTGAATGTGATGCAGTGCACATCGCACCGCATCATATTCTTTCCGAACCTCTATGGCCAGGAATCTCTCAACGGGGACCTGGAAGTGACATCATAAGAGGCTGACACCATGTAGAAGCAATCGCCCAAATGCTTCCACCTGTCAGGTGAGCCCTGCTGCTTGCCCACAGCAGGGCTAAAGGTAAAAAAAAAAAAAAAAAAAAAAAAACAACCTGCCCGGCACCCGGAACCACATGTCCCAGGCGTCGGGCGATATGAATTCAACATCCCTAAATTCTCTGCATTAAATGCCCCTTTACCTGTCCTACACCCCACCCCTCCTCCCAAAACACTTACCTGGCTCTATGTCACCATTCCAGAGCAGCAGAGCTAGAGGCTCCCCAGTTTGAATCCTGGAAAGCAGGAGCGTGGCTTATTGCTGCTGTGTGTCTATGGACACACATAGCCCAGCTACAAAGTGCATGCACGCAGGTGCCTATTTTTCACCTGGATTGTTATAGGAAGTACTCAAAAAAAAAAGGGGAGAAGCTGAAAGCACCAGTGGGGGACTTGCAGAAGAGGAGAAAAGCAGCCTTTTTGTGCAATATCATTGCACAGAGCAGGTAAGTCCCTTGTGCCCAATCTGCGGCCCTTTCTGTGCGGCCCTCGGGACCCCTGCAGACATTGATCTCTGTTTTCCTATTGCCCTGTTATAACAGAGATTTACAGCAGTTTCATGTAATATGTCTTCCGGTCTAGGACTGCCTCCTGTAGCATGTTCCCAGTCTCCAAAAGCTCTTATGGCACGTTTAGTGTCTCTGACCATCCCCTGCAGTATGTCCACAGTCTCTGACCATCCCCTGCAGTATGTCCGCAGTCTCTGACCATCCCCTGCAGTATGTATGCAGTCTCTGACCATCCCCTGCAGTATGTATGCAGTCTCTGACCATCCCCTGCAGTATGTATGCAGTCTCTGACCATCCCCTGCAGTATGTATGCAGTCTCTGACCATCCCCTGCAGTATGTATGCAGTCTCTGACCATCCCCTGCAGTATGTATGCAGTCTCTGACCATCCCTTGCAGTATGTATACAGTCTCTGACCATCCCCTGCAGTATGTCCGCAGTCGCTGACCATCCCCTGCAGTATGTCCGCAGTCTCTGACCATTCCCTGCAGTATGTCCGCAGTATCTGACCATTCCCTGCAGTATGTCCGCAGTCTCTGACCATCCCCTGCAGTATGTCCGCAGTCTCTGACCATCCCCTGCAGTATGTCTGCAGTCTCTGACCATCCCCTGCAGTATGTCTGCAGTCTCTGACCATCCCCTGCAGTATGTCTGCAGTCTCTGACCATCCCCTGCAGTATCTCCGCAGTCTCTGACCATCCCCTGCAGTATGTCTGCAGTCGCTGACCATCCCCTGCAGTATGTCTGCAGTCGCTGACCATCCCCTGCAGTATCTCCCCAGTCTCTGACCAACTTCTTTATCATGTCCACATTGCATACCATCTCTTATCTCATGCCCATAGTCTTTTGACATCTGTAATGTATAATGTATCTGCTGTCTATGACTCAAAATATTGACTGAATTTTATGTGCGTCCCTTTGGTGAGGTTGAGGGTCACACAGGAGGGCCCTCACATCAAAAAAGTTAATCACTACTGAGGATTTCTGTTTTTTATTTAAAAAAAAAAAAAAAAAAAAAAAAAAAAAAAAAACATAACATAGCCGTTAGTATCACTTGAAGGACAGGCAACACCGAGCAGAAAAACTGTGAAGCAAACTTCCATAAATGTGAAACTGTACAGGTATTGGATGTTCTACTCAAATGATTGGAAAGGATATTGTTCTCTCTAATATAATGCATATCACTCGGGGGGGGGGTGGGGGGGGGGGGGGGGGTTGTGGTCCTTTAACTGCTTTCCGGCCATAATCTGTAGATTAACATTCCCTTGCAAGAAGCCCCATGCTGAGGGGAAATTTTCCCACTTTGACAACTCACAAACAGCACTGTAAGGTCTCTTGCACGAGTGAAAAAGGAGAAAAGAATATGTTACATTTGGATGCAGTAATTACGTGTATACTTGAAAGTACATATGAGCATATACGTATAAATTGAAACATTGGTACTGAGAAGAGGATGATTTTTCTGCACCTGTTTGTTGGTACACTGAAGTGATCTGCAAGCCTCTGTAAGAAAGATCCTGTGTATAAAGATCAGTAAATATTACATCTGTGTGCAAGAGAGCCAAAGGGTACATGTACAGGCCGTATGAAAACTTGGCAACCAGGACACAATCTTGCTGGCAAGCAGAAGCTGGCAACAAGATACTGTTTAAAAAGTGCTCTGTACTCACACAAGGAGTATGAATTGTTACAATGCTTATGTATGTTAATTCTCCTTTTTTCTTTTGTATGCTTTCTGGACATCCAGTTCAAGATAATCAGCGTTTTTTTCTCCTGAAGAAGCCCACCAGGACGAAACATGTTGGGAATCTTCACAAACATTTATGTTACTGTTAAAAGTACTGGTAACCACTTGCTTTGCTGTTGAAGTGTTTATAAACATCATGATTCTTTTAATTTTGTAATTAAATAAATTGTGAATGATTTTAGAAATCTGTGTGTTAAACTCTCGTTGTGTGTGAAGCACCACAGAAAAGTCCAAATTTTCTTTGACTAACTGCACACAATGAGCAGTGTAAGGCGTGTTTACATGTGTATGACACTACAGTATTAGTAGCCCAATTACTAGAACACAGGAGGTCTCTCAAAGAAGCCACCTAGCATTCTTCAGTTGCTAGAACAAAAGGTGGCTTTTCCTTTCAATAAAGTTAAATCTTTCCAAAAAATATCTGAGAAAAAAAAAAAAAAAAAAAAAAAAAAAAGGAGTTTCCTCTTAGTAAATACAGCAATTTAACATTTTGAAACTAACAGAAAGCATCTAAAAATAAATAAGTGCAGGAGAGAAAAAAAAAAAAAAAAAAGTTTAGAAACAGAAGTTTAGGGGTTTTTTTTACTATACCTAGGTGGATGCAGCATCGGTCCAATGCTGCATCTGTCCCCCACCACCTCTAACACAGAGCTGAGCAATCAAATTCCACTGATCACTCAGTGCTCCATGAGCAGAGACCTGGTCACTGTGTAGTTCAAGTGGTTATACCAGGATGATGCCTGTAGCTACAAGCATCAGCCTGGTATTTTTTTTTTTTTAGCCGATGGATGGCTTTTATGTAATCGCAATCCTAGCAGCTCATAAACCGCTGGATTGCTGCTCCAGGCAGCAGGAGGGGTCTTCCCCCTGCCTACCGATGCCACTCCAGGCTTTACCGTCTCAGCTGTGAGCCCGGACTGAAGCCAGGGGTTATGCCCACTTACCACAGAGCTGATCAGGGATTGGATCGTCCTTGATCATCTTTATGGTATAGGAAAATGGAAGCTATGAGTATTGTGTCACTTCCGGTTTTGCCAGATATGAACAAAGACAATTTGGGCTTGGGAAAGCATCTGATCACATTGATTTTGGTGTGATCAGAAGCTTTTAAGGGCAGAAGACATATTGGGTCTAACAGACACCAGAGCTTTTCATAAAGAGGACCTGTCACCACTTGTTATCACAAGGGATGTTTACATCATACATGAGGTATATTGCTGCAAGCATCAGAGCGAGAGCAATAATTCTAACATCAGACCTCCTGTGTAACTATAAACTGGTAGCTTGTAAAGGCTTTTAAAGCATCGGCTATGGAGATTTTAGAAATACCATAGTTTGGCGCCATTTCACAAGTGTGTGCAATTTTAAAGCATGACATAGTTGGTATCCATATACTCAGCGTTAAACTATCTTTTATATTGTACCAAAAATTGGGTATTACAGTATATTGTGTGCATTATACTTAATTTAAAGTATTTTTTTTTTTTAAATTTACATTTGAAAAACCGCTGTGCAAATACCATGTGGCATAAAATAAATTGCAAAAGGGCCTCTGAAAAAAAAATGTTTGGGGGTACCAAGTACATTTCTAGCAAATTATACTGATTTTAACATGTAAACAAAAGTGTCAGAAAAGGCCTGGTCTTAAGTGGTTACACGGTACTTTCTTTTCCCACTGCCAGCAGCCCTGAAGCAAGGAAAAGCAGTATAGAATGCTGTAAGTTAGGAGATATGGGAGCAATTAAGAGAAACTCTGACCTTTGGGCAAAAGGAAAGTATGACAGAGTTGAAATCTGAGCCTAATCTTTAGGGCCCCAATTCATTTCTCTTGCGCATGCTCTGCTTATGCAAGTACAGGTATGTCAAAGTTCTTTAAAGTGTTAGTTTACCTTTACAATTGTGTATTGAGGTAAAGGATGTTTGTAGATTAAAAAAACTGTGCAGCTCTGACTAAAGTTGAATAATACCTTTGCTATAGGTGTAGGCCACTTACGCAACTCATGAAACGTGGCTAGAATACTCCCAGGACATTGCTAGGACATTGCCAAGTAAGACCTAGTTGTTTCTTTTCTCCCCCACCATCACAGAAGTGAGCTCTTTCTCCAATTCAAAACCCATCACATGCACTCACTCTTGCCTGATGCAGAGCTCTGAGCTCAGTGTTTGAGTGCTAGCTGCTGTGATGGAAGAGGTGAGCAGTAACAACTAGGCCTCACTTAGAAAAGTTCGGGGAGTCGTCATCTGGTCAGGCTTAGGGAGGTACATAAATTACCTACATCTATAGCAGAGGGACAATATTCAACTTTAGTCTGAGCTGTGGTTTGATTTTATCTACAGACACCCTTTACCTTCATAGGAAAGGTCATATAAAAAGTTTAAGATTAAAAAAAAAAAATATTTAGTACCTTGTCCATTCTTCTGCTTTTTCTGCCCTGTTTTCTTCTTGGATCCAGTCGTTTCAGGTGGTGGAGTTGGCTGTTTAGTTACAGGAACAGATTCCGGCTTCTTTACAGGTATCTTTGTTCCATTGACTTCCTTAGTAACCGGCTCCTTGACCACTGGCTTTGGAGGCTTTTTCTCTTCTTCTTGCGCTCCCTGACACTGCCAATGGTCTCTGCGGGAACTATAGCAGCAGGAACAACGTGCTCCTCTTCGCTGGGCAGAGCATCTCCCAAATCAAAATCACGTAGGGCCATCTCGGAATCTGATTCATGAAGGTTTCCGTTCTGAGTTTCTTTCTTCTTGTTCTTTTTTTTGTCGGTTTTCTTTTTGTCTATTTTAGCAGGGGGCAGCTTCTGGTCTTTCTTCTGCTTGGCAAGGACCTCGTCATATGATGTCTCCTTCATAAAGAGCCAGAAGAAGAGCAGGAGGGCTGTGATCACCACAATTGGGAACAGGACAATAAAATAAGTTGACTCGTAAAACTCCATTGTGCTTTCTTAATCTTGTGTAGTACTTCTCCTTACTAGAAAAAGGAAAGATGGTCAAATTAGTTATTTCACTTATAAAAAACATATAATTCAATCATAATCATTTTAATCAATATATTTTAGTTACAAGCCAAATAGCAAAACTGTCATCATTGACCCTTTCTGAACTTTTTGGGTTTCTATGTCACCCACTGGATTATCCTTATGGAATCCTGTTTTGTAGATAGATAAGTATAACCCAATCTTTTTTAATCAAGGTGATAGTCAAGTATACTGTATTCTCCATGTTGAAATTTGCAGCCAAAAACCTACATTGCCCAGCACTCATCTTGTGAGATTTAATAGTCTCAGCACTCCTAGAATCTCACCAAAAGACATGTACAGTCAACCTAGTTTAAGTACCCCAAGCAGAAGCCTGAGTATGATGATTTTTTTTGTTTCCTGAAGCATGTTTACGGCAGGAGTATAAATAGAGGCAGATGTAAGGTCCACTTTAAATTTAAATTTTTATGATGGACTGCCACTAAGATGTCAGCCCAGAACACAAGTCAAGGGTTGTGGTTTAGATTCATTGACTTCTAACAGCAAGCACAGTAATTAGCTTTATTACTTTACACACTACACAGTATTAAAAGTAATAGTAGCCATGAATCTTTATTCTTTCATCAAAGGAAAAGGTTGAAAGTATTTTTAGCAGCTATTACTCAGCTTTGTAGTTGAAAGAACTGCACTCTAAGTTCACCAGCCGGTCCCTTTAAACCCCAGGAACATATGTCTGCTGCAGCAGCAGCGGAAGAATGAAAAGCATTTACCTAGAGGGCATCTGAAGCGCTGAGATTATGGTGTTCAGCAAATAGTCTGATTGGATCATGTTAATCAAGTGAAGAGCAAAAGGATTTCATGATGGTTGGGCTGTCGCTCACTAGCCTTGACAAAAACTCCCTTTATTATGCTCCCATTTGCTTTTACAAGGCAGTGGGAGCCTGGCAGAGCCTGGGCAAACTGTCTGAGCACAGAACAGTGATTGGATCCAGACTATACACACAATTGTTAGTGACACGCTGTCATAGTACATAGGGGAGATGACAGTAGGGGATTGTTCTGAAGGGAATATACTGCAGAGATGTTTGTGTATCTTACAAGATCATCTGACAATACACAGTAAAGTGTACTTTTTTTTTTTGTTTGTTTTTTTTAAGGCAAAATGTGTAATATACAATTATCCAAAGCAGCCAATACGTTCGTCTATCATTTGCTCTCACTGTTAGAAAAACCCGTGAGCTCAGTTGTGAATACAGCACCTCACCAATCATTACATTTTACTTCAAACACATTAAATCTTTCCATTAACCAAGAACGCAGTCCAGGAAATATTGAATTATTTTAGGCGCTAAACGTAATTTAAGTTACTCTTTTTTATATACATAATGGGGCTTAGAGAATACATCTTATGCAAAACAGCAAATCGCTTGCCAGTCATTCTGCACTGTGCAGCCTTCCTCCCCGATTACCCATTTAATGTTGGCTATAGTCAAGATAGGGTTTTATTTTACACTAAGGGCCAATTCACACATTATGTGGTAACAGATGTTTTACTGCATTGTAAAATGCCTGTCACCACAAGGATACACAAAAAAACTGTTTCCTGTGTGTCCCATTCACACTGCAACGCAACCCAGAGCTGCAATAAAAACGCAGACATGCTGCATTTTATGGCAACACACTGTACAGAATTGCATGGCACTGTACTGCAGCTAAGCACATCGGGCTGATATACCAATCCATGAATGCAATGTACATTTTGTACACTTCATATAAATTCTGTTCAAAATAAAAAGGAAAATAAAAAAAGGGAGAGCCATGCGATTCGGAAGGCTGTGTTCACACTAGAGCGGACAGCTATCAAAGTGCTTTACCTGTAACTAGGGGGTAGTGTGGTACGCGATTCAGCGCATCACATGGCCCTTTTTAGGTTTGTTTTGGCCAAACTAGATTTACAAAACCTACACTTGATTCATGGCGCTGTACAGTAGCGCGATGTGCTTCTGTACAGTGCGCTGTGATAAAATGCAGCATGTGTGCATTTTATCACAACAGGCTGTGTTGCAGTATGAATGAGACACATAGGAAACAATTGTTTTCTGGGTGTCCTGTGTGGTGTCACTGCACTGTGTGTGAATTAGCCCTTAATGATCATAACCAAAATGGTTTACTCTCAAGCATGCATAAGAATGGACTACATAAGTAGTCACAAGACTTTGCATCCTTCTAACCCTAAACCTGCAGCTCATTCAGGTAAAAAAAAAAAAAAAAAAAAGTTAAATTTTTTCTAAAAGGGTGCAAACAGCATGCCACGTTCTCTACAAGATCTTTTATAATACTAGCTGTCCTTTTTAAAACAATCTTCTGAGGGCAGATGATATAAACGACGACCAGGAAGAAACCATTTTCATGATTCAGGTTAGGTTCCCACAACTGCAGCTGCACTTTTATGTATTTTTTTTGTGTAAAAACTATGCATTGTTGCACCCTTCATTTACACCTTATGAACCAGTGAGCCTTGGAGGTTTTTACTTTAATGCATTTTATACATTAGGGTAACGCTTGAGGTGATTGTAGTCGTATTAATGCATTTGCGACAAAAACAATTGAGTACTGTCTGTGATACTTTTTTTATTTGCACTAACATACAATTTTGAGGACAAGCTTTCGGGGAGCGTCCCCTTCTTCAAGGTCCAAGCAGTACTATACAAATCACAAAGTTTTAGCAGAATATTAGAAGAGATGAAAAAAAAAAAAAAAAAGGCTAGAGATAAGACACAGCAAAAGCAAAGGGGGGGAGACAACACTCACATCACAGAGGGTAAAAATCCTTCGGTGCCAGAGGGTCCCCCTCAACCCCCCTTATACTTACCTGAGCCCAATCTCGATCCAGCAATGTGCAGGAGAGCAGCGGCTTGTTCCATCCTCACTGGGCCATTGGCTTCTGCTGCTGTCAATCAAATTTTTTGATGAGGCAGAGGGGCTGAGCAGCACTGTCTGTGTCTACAGGGCAGCTTGGGAGTGGGCCCACATAGAAAGCATCAATCTCTGGGGACACTCACAGAACAGGAGGAGCCAGGAGCGCCAGCGGGGGACCCCCGAAGAGGAGGATCGGGGCTGCTCTGTGCAATACCAATGCACAAAGCAGGCAAGTATAACATTTTTTGTTAAAATTAAAATAAATCGAAGCTTTATTACAACTTTAATATATGGCCATATTTTATATACATTGCGTAACACTGACAAAGTTGCTGCTTTAAAAGTATAATATGCTTTATCAACAGAAATAGTTTCTAGTTAACACATGCTGTGTTTTTTTTTTTTTTTTTTGTAACAACCAGAATGTTCCTTAATTGAAAACACTGGCATGGTACAACTACACCAGAAACAAGGTAGTACATGGAATGACAGTATCGCACACACAGTGCAAACATGGCGACATGTACTTTTTAGAGCCATTTTGCTAATGGAAGCTTGTAGTTTGATGAGTCCTGTCCATCACTTTTCACATCCAACCCTCTGGAGGCGGCTGGCCGCTGGGTTCATGAAGTGCAGCGCAGCATAAACTTGTTATCCATTTTAAATAGGCTTAACTAAATCAGCCTGAATGTTTTCACAGCTCTGCTTATTCTGATGCTCATATGTAAACCAAAGTGTTCTTTAAGCTGTCCTTTTAAACCCTTGGTTGCCTCCCAGCTGCTGGTTTATATGTGTACATCTAAACCCAGAGAAATGCAGATATAACTACTGAACGACTGGATGCACTACAATTGAAAAGAGAAGAGAGCAACAAATTACAATGGTCATTACTGACTTCAGAAAATGTTCCCTTCTTTACTTCACCCGTGTCCCAGGCTCTGTGGCTACCTTTTGATGATGCCCGATACTCACATTTTCTGAGACTATATATAAGCTGGACCTCCACCCCCATGCTATCTTTTCTCAATCCCACTCAGGACATTTTTATTATTTTTGTTTTATTATTTTTTTTTATTTTTTTTATTATTTTTTTTATTATTTTTTATTTTCTGAGACTATATATAACCTGGACCTCCACCCCCATGCTATCTTTTCTCAACCACACTCAGGACATTTTTATTAATATTTTTTTTTTATAGAGTCATATCTGCTGTCTCTGGTTTGAACCTATGGTGGAGCAGGTTTAAACAGAAAAAGGGGAAATACCTTTTTTTTTTTTTTTTTTTTTTTGAGGAGCACAGCCTAAGCTTTTACTTTCATCGCCTGGGTGGCAATGATGCTCCTAGTTGCCTGAAGCCTTCTGGGATAGCCACATCACGCTTCCCAGGAGGCTTCATAGCTATATGGAGCATCATCAAGGAGCCAGCTGTTAGGACCCATTAAAGACTTCCAGCTACCAATGATATCACAGGAGTCTCCATGTGGCCACCTTCGTATATAGCAGGACAACTCTGGACATGTATAAGTTTTGAAGATAAATCAGGGAAGCAGGTAAGAGGGAAAAAAAAAAAAAAATACGTTACACGGAGGGTCATGAAGTTCCACCTTAATGGCTAGGGAGTGCCAGCTTTACATCTACATGCCTAAACTTTCACCAATCATTTCTGTCTAAACCTGCCCCGCCATAGGTTCAAAAATGAATCTGAAGATATTTTGTTGCCCCCAGCTGCACAAAAAAAAAAGAAACATAACCGAGTTTGCCTTAGAATTTTCTCTACAGAAAGGGCACAGCCATCTTTGTTTGGGTTTTGCCCAAAGTTAGCGCCTGCTTCCAAGAATGAAATACTGACTCACACAAAATCATACAATTCAGTGGTCAAATTCCACTTTATTGGTAATCAGATATATCCACATCCAATGTGTTTCAGAGGATTGGGGCACCCCTTTCATGAGGGTACTGGGCATATGGTAACTCCCCTCGTGGCTGAGTTTCATGAGATTTCCTAGTTCTCATGTACAAAAAATATTAGAAAAAAAAA